CACTCCTTCCTTCTGCTCTCTCTCCTTCCTCCTGCACAAGGCAGCCATGAAACCTCCTCTCACAATGTAAACTTAGAATCCAAAGCCATCCTTCTGACAATGAATAACTGTAGGTACAGAACCTTTTGTTCTTTACCAAGGGGACATATTTTATTTTAACTTTTAAAGCAATGCTGTTGATATGTGAATGAGATAGATGTTGGTTTGTGGGTTAGCTTCAGCTTCCAAGCCTTTCTTTTTTTAAAAAACAACACACACCTCTGTTAAATACATTTGCACAATAAGCCAACCAACATTATTTTAGAAACTGATCATATGGGAATGATTGGAAAGGAGCTGCATGTGTTCCTATTGATAATCCTATTGATAATCTCCCAGATACTGTACAGATGCCTTTCCCTTGCCTAGTAGCCTGGCAATTGAAACAAGCTGTTCCTGCAGTAACTTTTGTGAATGTCTTCTCATTTCTTTCTAGCTCTGTTTGCATCCAGTTTTGGCAAATGGGACCGCCACAGGATAACCTTTTTCGTAATCTACCTTCTGACAATCTTTTCCCTGATAATGGCAAATGCTGCCTTTGTGATTGCATTTCTCAGATGTAAGTCCAGGTTTGAAGCTAATTGGTAGCTTGAGTCTGCATCCTCCATAGCAGGCCATGGACAATGACTGCTCCAGGGCTGGATCCGCTAGGTTTAGGTTTGTGGGTTCACTGACTAAGTCTTACAGCAGTTGCAGAAAAGAACGTGACATGGTCTGGCCTTCCTTTCAATATTAAAACTCCTGTCCCTTAGGGTTTCATAGATTTTCAGACCTCTGCAGACTTGTGGCAAGGCGTGACTTAGCTGCTGAAATTGTACCCAGGCATTCACTGTACTGTATAGGAGCCCTAATACTGAAGGCCTGTGGTTGGTTACAGTGATCTCTTAAACTTGATGGTGCCTTTCCAAGAGGACTGAGCTCTGCTCACCAGTTCTGTTCTTGAAGAAGAGCCATGGAGGAATCTAGCTCCCATTCTGCTATGTCAAAAACTGGCAAGGACCGGCAAGCACACGTGCATATGTTGAGCCTGGATTCCGATGCTTTAGAGTTGGGAAAAGTTCAGAAAAGGGCAACCAAAATGATCAAGAGGATGGAGTGACTCCCCTCTGCGGAAAGGCTGCAGCGCTTGGGACTTTTTAGCTTAGAGAAAAGGCAAGCGAGTGGTCACATGATAGACATTCATAGTATTATGCATGGCATGGACGAAGTGTGTAGAGAAAAATTGTTCTCCCTTTCTTATAACCCTAGAACTCCCGGATATCCAATGAAGTGGAATCGTGGAGGTTTCAGGACAGAGAGAAGAAAAAAGTACTTCATGTAGCACATAGTTTAACCATGGCATTCACGCCCAGTGGAGGCAATGGTGGTCCCCAACTTGGATGGCTTTAAAAGAGGATTGGACAAATTCATGGAGGACAAAGCTATCAATGGCTGCTTAGCATGATGGCTCTTATCTGCCTCTACAGTTGCTCAAAACCGCAGGACAGCAGGGAGGCTACTCTTGTGCTCCAATCCTGTTTGTGGGTTTTCTAAAGGCATCTGGTTGGCCACTGTGAGAATAGAGTACTGGACTAGATGGGCCATTGGTCCAGCAGGCTCGTCTTATGTTCTAATGTTATGTAATGCTCAAGCTACTGTATGAATCAATTAGCATCAGTCAGAATGCTAAAGAATTTTTTTGCCAGTCCAGTAATAGTCTAGAGGCCACACTACCAATGGGGAAGACGCTGGTGGAGGCATTGTGTACTACAATATGGATAAACAGAAAAGACCTACAGGCCACATGTGTGCATTTGCTAAGTGTCCGTCTGTAGTGGTATATGGTGCCAGTCACAAAAACATCCTATAAACAAAGAGGCATTCATTCTGTGCTGCATTATTTCACAAATCTGTGTATTGCAGGCTTTCCAATATGTGCATTCAAATGGCATGAATTCCAGGACAAATGCTACTACTACTCCAGAAAACAAGTCTTTTGGGAAAAGGCCAGGAGCACCTGCCAAGACTTGAGTGCAGATCTGGTGATTATAGATAGTGAAAAGGAACAGGTGAGTTTTCCCTGTGATGGACATCTTGCACAAGAAGCTCCTCTTCTGCTACCAGGAATGTTATGATTGCAACCTACCTTGAATCTTCCCAATCAGAACAATAAGGAGGGCAGCACACAAAAACACCTGCTAGGTGTAACCTCATGGAAAGGTGTAGTTAAAGATCAGCTTGGGGAGCCCCGAATAACAGCTATTCCAATTAATTTTACTTTCTTCTCAAATGAAATTGTCTCTTTTATATTGCTAAAAAAGTTGGGTGCGACCCCCAAGTGGTAACAAGATTCCAGGGAGTTCCAGGCACCCACCCAGGGTCTGTGTTCCTTTGGAGAATTGAGAAATGGCAGAGACTTTAAGAAATATAGTTTATTTACCTACTTACACCTTCAGTCTGCATGTTGGGAGTCCCAATCTTACAACATGGTGATCTTAAGCAGGACTTGTTTCCCAGAGCCAGTGCAACACAGGAGTCAAAGACATCTCTCCCAGCCAGTCTTCAGCCAGCCTGCCCAAGATGGAACTCACTCTTTTTTCTTCCCCTTCTCCTTCCCAGCTCACCTTGCTCTGAAGACTCTCCTTTCCTGACACCTTAAGCACACACCCCATCACCATGGCAACCTCTGTGTGCCCAAGCCCAAGAATCCGTTTTGAGCCATCAACAACTTTTGTCATGTTTTATACCCAGGTGAAGAGCTGGCTTGGAAAGGAAGTTTAGCCTGTTTTCCCCCACCGGCTTGCAATCTTCCCTTCAGTACTCTAAATAATCAAATTCCTACCATTTATTAATTTATAGGGTTTAGAGGAGGTCCCCCTCCACAAATCTATAACAGTTTGTTTTTCATTATGATCAAACAAAAGTTTACTGCAGTAAAGAAAGTTAAATAAGAAAGCAGTGTCACATCCCTAAGACACTCTTCACATGGGCCAAACTTGTACTTTGGTTCTTTTGCATCAAATGTAAACAAACTAAACAAAAATGCCTCCTATTGAGGTGTCTTTGGTCCTCCTGGCAGAGGCTCTTTGAGGTCTCTCAAGCTGAGGTCTCTCTCTCCCAGATGTGCTTCTGGAGATTCTGCAGTACAAGTAAGCTGCTCCTTTCATACGACCTAAATGCTTTCACTCTCCAGTGATACTTATTTAAAATTCTAAAGCAGGACCTCCAAAATTGGACTGCTTGCTTCTACCTGCCCCCCAAAGGCCTTTGTTTCTCATATATTCCAGTGGCAAATGAAAAATGATCACAAAACCAACCAGTAAATGGTAACACAACAGAACATTTAAAGCTGTCGGCTTAAATCCACAGTCATAAAAAGACATAACGTAAAAGGCAACCCTGGGAGCACTGGAGGGAATGAGGTCTTTAGTAATGTTTCTAGCTGTAACTGCTTTTAGATGTTTTCAATTGTAATTGTTTTTAGAATGCTTTAATTGTTTGCCTGTTTAGTTTTTGAAATGTTGTTATGTTTGCCACCCTGGGCTGCTTCAGGAGGAAGGCGGGATGTGGATTCAATAAATATATAAAAGAAGTAAATAAAGAAGTTCTTCTAATGTCAGCTTTCTATGTTCTAAATTGTTGCAAGAAGATACTGGTTTTTTCCGTGTATTGGACGAGGTTTTATGACTCTAAAATCATGTCAAAAACTGGGGTCGTCCAATACACGGATAGCGGCATGTTGGGGGAGAGGAGAAGCAGCATGCCGCTGGTGGGAGTGCGGCTTCCCCCAATGCTGGAGCGAGTGGGGAGCGATCTGGGGGGGGGGGTTCCTGCCCACAGCTGCGTGGGGGGGGGAGAAGCTGTGTACCGCCAGCCAGCTCTTTGGCAGGAGACCAACTTCCCCTGATGCCACTGCGTGCGGGAAATGATCTAGGCAGTGTTGCCTGCCCGCAGCTGTGTGGGGTGAGAGGCTCAACAACTTTGGGCCATCTCCCCTCATTTTCTTAAAACTGAGTCCCCCCAAATGGGGGTGGGAAGTATAATACATGGGGGCGTCTTATAGATGGAAAAAAACGGTAACCGTTTTGCAAGAGTTAAAATTCCCTGTCCCAAAGTTGGGGCTTGGAGACAAGAAATCTCTGGCTGTGTGAGCACATTCCTGTTTGCTTTGTATTCAGTTTGGGAAGCAGTGAACACGTGACGTTAGAAAAAATTCATATCTATCTTGTTGTTTCTTATGAAGCACCACGTGTCAATGTATCCACACACACACACACCCCATCCAAACCTTCTTCAATTTCAGTCGCGAAAAAGAACAACCTAGCTACGTTTTAAGTTGCCCATGTGAGGCCTGAAAGGACAAGAAAAACAAGAAGGCAGAAGTTTGCCCACCCCTCAGCATGCTAAGTGTGTGCTCTACTTCTTAGCTATGTGAACATATGATTTACTCATATTTGTGCATATGATTTACTCACATTTGTACAAATAAACGTGGGGTGCGGTCCCCAGTCCCACTGCTGGGAACACTGAGGAGCGGGTGAGGAGAAAATCCATCAATTCTCTATCTTTTTCTAGGATTTCCTCGTTTATAACATGAAAAAGAAGACCTCACAGTGGATTGGCTTAAGATACATGACAACAGAAATGGCGTGGAAGTGGGTGGATGGCACAAATGCCTCTTACACGTGAGCGCCGCTTTTCAGTCGATTTATCTCAGATCTCTCATGATGTTTCAAAAGCACAGCTGGCTAACCATGTTAAATGGGCAGTTTTGAGCTGAAAACTGCGATGTGCATTACTGTTTCTATCTGTGTTGGGGTAGCAGCACATCCGGGTTTTTAGTAAGTGGCCAAAAGAAAGCATTCAGTCAGAATTCACATCACTCCCTCTGTTTCTCGCCTCCCCCTCCAACCCCCGGGACTGTGTCACACGATGCCTTGTTATGGAATTCAGTATCTCATCACAAGACTTCAGAAAGTGAGGACTCATCCTCCTTGACCCCAAAAAGCTCAGCTCCCCTGGTCTCCCAGCCACATGCTACAACATTGTTGGGGTGTCGAGGTGAGCTTGGACTCCAACTTCGGTAATGTCACTGGTTATAGTAGTGGCAGCAAAGTTTGCAAGGGATTGGTTGTGCTCTGTCCAGAGCCGAGTGAGACCAGCTGGCTTCCCTTAGTTTGCGGCAGAAATTATAAAAAAAAGCTGCTGCCTGGATTGTGCTGTTGCACAGGGTAAGGAAACAGCCCCTTTCCTATCTCAGCAAACATTTCTGGTAAATTATTATTAGTATTATTAATGAGTTTGTATTGAACTGCATTAACTCTTCATTGAACGGTTTGTTTTCTACTTGACTGATATGCCACTATGTTTTTTAGCTCTGGTTCTATGGATGGAAATACGGTCTCGTCTACTTCGTTGTTCAGCTTTGTTGTTGGGAGAGCAGCATGCAAATACTAAATCAAAATCAGCACCTGAAAGAAAAGCATCAGAAATGGCACCGAAGGGGCAAAGGGCATTTCTCAGTGGGTGGGGAAGGAGAGGAGCATGTGAAGAGTAACCACACGTGACTAGAAAGAAGGAGGCGAGTGAGAACTGACAGTTTGGCAAGTTCATCACCAGGCAAATGTTTGCTTTTCTTTTTCTTTTTCAGACGATGGGGGCCTTCTGAACCGACTAGCAAAGCTGGCCGTAATCCAAAAGACTGTGTTGTCATGAAGAAAGGAGAGAACCATAAGTGGCGTAATGGCTCGTGCAACTCCACCAATCTGTTTATTTGTGAAAAGAGCATGCAGCTTGCCTGTGTCTGGCAGGCTTTTCATAGTTCTCACTGAACAATCTTCTGTTTGGTATTGGTGTACATCCTCAGTCAGTTACAGAATGCTATGAACAAATGCTATAGATCAGTTTATTGCTCTGGATCTGGTGTGGGTGTGTGCCCACTCATGAGAATCCTTCCAGAAGGGTACTCCAAATCACACAGCCATCTATTATTGCAGCAGCAACAGGCCACACAACAGAGACACAAACATGGAGCCCACACAGCCATGATCTCCTACATCCTACATAGGTGTGACTTTGCCCCAAAGGCAAAACGAGTCACATCAGAAAGGGCCATACAGTGGTGCCTCGCAAGACGAAATTAATCCGTTCCGCGAGAGTCTTCGTCTAGCGGTTTTTTCGTCTTGCGAAGCAAGCCCATTGACGGATTAGCGCTATTAGCGCTATTAGCGGTTTAGCGGCTATTAAAGGCTTAAAGGCTTAGGGGATTAGCTGCTAAAAGGCTATTAAAGGCTATTAAAGGCTTAGCAGATTAGATAAAGGGGGGGGAAAGCGAAAAAAAAAATCTCAAGACTCGCAAGGTATTTTCGTCTTGCGAAGCAAGCCCATAGGGGAATTCGTCCTGCGAAGCAACTTCAGAACGGAAAACCCTTTCGTCTAGCGGTTTTTCCGTCTTGCGAGGCATTCGTCTTGCGGGGCACCACTGTACTCTGAAATCAGCAGACTTCCAGGACACCCCAACACTGACCTCAAGGTGGCTATCCATGAACCAAAGGAGGAAAACTTCATCATGAAATTGCTGAATGAACACTCTACAGATGTTCATTAGCCAATAAATAGCAGGATGTTGACCTCAGCGCTTCTTTGTGACTTGTTATCATAAATATTTTCCAATAATTTCAGCTCTTTTGAGAATACATTGCTTTTGTTTTCTTCTTATATGACAATTTATAACTTAAGATCAAAGTGTCTGCGATAGAGAACAATGGACAGACTCAGACCACATGCCCATCATACAAACTTTTATAAAATTTTCATATGATGATTTATATGGATAGATTCCTCTGGGAAATTTAAGATGGTGTGTGAGTGTGAGTACTTCAATTTGCAAGACCACCAGTCACTCTATAAGCCAAGAAGAGGATTAGGCAGGGCACCCAGGGTCAAATATGAAAGACCCAGGACTCATACCCTTTGGGCTATCCTCTAACATGAAGACATTTGCTACACAACCTAGTGATACACTGAAACAACCACAAATGCAATTTGGTTTGAATGGAATTTGTTTGCATTTATTGTATTCATATCTTTTGAGAAAGTACCTTTTTAGTGATTACCTTCCTTACCGCAACCTTGATCTCTTTGTTTCTCAAAGTAAAGATAATGGGACTGAGAAATGGAGTAATTATGGTGTAGGGTATGGAAATCAGCGTGTCATCCTCTAATGTGTCAGCTGAGCTCGATTTGAAATAAATGATGGAGGCAAATGTATAGTGCACACTTACCACAATGAGGTGGGCGGCACAGGTGGAGAAAGCTTTCTGGCGGCCCTCTGTGGAGGGGATGCGCAGGATGGTGGAGAGAATTAAGATGTAAGTCAACATGATGAACAGAAGGCTGCCGGCCAAACCCAGCATGCCAATAGTAGAGATAGACACTTCAGTTGTATTATCAGCGGTGCAGGCTAACCTAACCACTGCCCTCATGTGACAAAAGAAGTGCCGGATGGCATTGGGGCCACAAAAGGGCAACCTAAGGATCTGAGCAGCCTCACTTAGAGATATGAGGAATCCCGCAATCCAGGAAATGACTATGAACCAAAGAATTACCCGCATATTCATAAGGACAGGATAGCGCAATGGGTGGCATATTGCTAGGTACCGATCATAGCCCATACATGTAAGAATGAGACAGTTTGTTGCACCCAGTCCAAGGAAAAGAAACATTTGTGCAGCACACCCTGCAAAAGAGATTGTTCTGACTTTTGCTAGCAAATCAACCAGCATTTTGGGGACAATGACTAAACTGTAACAGGTTTCAGAGCAAGACAAAGCAAAGAGGAAGATGTACATGGGAACATGGAGGCTCCGATCAGAATAAACAACGGACATTATCAGCAGATTTCCTATCAGGGTTAGGATGTACATGAGCAGGAACAAGATGAAAAATGCAATCTGTAGCTCTGGAGGCACAGAGAACCCAAGCAGGATAAATTCTGTCACTTGTGTGTGATTCTTCTTCATTGTGTTGTACCAGCACCTTAGAAAGAAGAAGATTACAGTTACCAAACACAAGGCTCAGTCTTATGGACAATGAGCAGCATGGATCTTTCACATTGTTACTAGTTATTAAAAGATCACTATGAGCGTACCGGGATGCGGGTGGCGCTGTGGGTTAAACCACAGAGCCTAGGACTTGCCGATCAGAAGGTCGGCGGTTCGAATCCCTGCGATGGGCTGAGCTCCCGTTGCACAGTCCCTGCTCCTGCCAACCTAGCTGTTCGAAAGCACGTCAAAGTGCAAGTAGAAAATTAGGTACCGCTCCGGCGGGAAGGTAAACGGTGTTTCCATGCACTGCTTTGGTTCACCAGAAATGTCTTAGTCATGCTGGCCACATGACCCGGAAGCTGTACACCGGCTCCCTCGGCCAATAAAGCGGGATGAGCGCCGCAACCCCAGAGTCGGTCACGACTGGACCTAATGGTCAGGGGTCCCTTTGCCTTTACCTATGAGTGCACCTAGATTGCGTCAGAATCCCTTCTTAACCATCTGATATATTATAGTTTAATAATTACAAAGTTTAATAAACCAATTATAACCTCTTTGCCTTTTTTACCAGCAAAATATGTACCACAGGGCTCAACCTTCAAAAGTTCTGACTTCATCCATTTTACAATTGGTTCATCTGTCTTATGATTGTCTACACCTGTCAACTGCCCTGAGACCTCCAGATATAGGGCGGTATATAAATTCAATTAATAATAATAATAAAAAACAATAACCAACTGGCTCAAAGAAAAGGATTCAAAGACAGATCTACCTAGCATCTTGTCTGACTCCAAGGATTTAAATGATACTTCTTTCTGCAAGCTTAATTTCTTTGCCAGGATCAAAGCATTTTTAGTTTTCTCTGCCTATTTGCACAAAACTGGCTCTCCATAAAAATACATGGAAAAACTAGCTGCAATTGCACTTTGGATTTTATTCTGAAGCAATTAGTTTAGTGGCTAAGTGTTCAAATGCATTTTTGATTCATGGAGCGCCTATCATTTACGGGTCCACACTTTTACTATATAAAGGATGGTATTTAACTAAGTTCTATTCAGAGCACCTAACTTAGGTTGTTTCTTAATTTCAATGGGTAATACTTACTTGAATATCACTCAAAGTGGGCAGAAGCTTACTTAGTTGAATACCACCCAACCTGGACAGAGGGTTGGTGAGATCTAACTGCAGTAGTCTAAGGTTTGTTGAGGAGAGTGACACTGCCCCTTTCCTCTCCTGCACCATACCTCTATTAAGTTCATCGCCTGAGGCATTCTTCTCCATTCCCAGATCACTTCCACTAACTGCAGTGGTTGAAATTTATATACTTTCCAACTGCACACCACTGCACCACTGTTTGGCACTGAAGGCCAAAAATGATATATATTTTGAAGGACATTGCCATATACCTGAGCTGGTTAACAGCTAGTTTCCCAGGTAATTCAGCACCATTAGAAGTCATGCAATAATGCTTTGGCACTCCAGAATGTGAGAGAAGATCAGTAGTGATGGAAACAAGTGAAAATTTCAAGGATGCTTAGTTGCCATCTCTGTTGTTCTCATTGAAGAACCCTAAAGAATGTTGGAGTTCCCTGAAACATTGTTTGAAAACTAAGCCAATGGCTTAAATGAGTTCTCAAACAAAGCACACTTTCTGATTGTCAGAATGATCCCAATAACAGGCGCCTTACCTTCCGTTTCTGATCTGGAGCTGCAAAAAGAAAAAGAGAAGGAGGAAACTACAACTGGCCAAACAAAACAAAAAAAAGAGAGTAAACTCAAGTAAGGACCAAAACGTCTTGCCACAATTTCCACTGAAATCTGTGGTCCTGTTGCAAAGGAATGGGTGGAGAGCATGTCATCCCCTAACTATGCAATAAGTTTAACATTCAATTCCAAAAAGTAAAAGAGAAAGGTAGCTAAACCCTGTTCGCAGGTTGTGGGGATTCCGCGTCAAGATCCCAGAGACATTCGTGGAGCGAGGCCTGTGGGGAAATTACACTAATTTGGCTCAGGAGATGTTTAATAAAGGAAAGCATGTCAGATATTTCATCATTTGTTATTTACTCCAGAAAAACAAAATTAAGTTCAAGTTTCAGAAACTCAACGGGCCAATGTTTTTTAGTTTAAAAAAATACTAATTAGTCATATTTCTAATTAGTCATACTTCTTCATCTTCACGCACAGCTATTTCTTACATGCATAGCTGAGAGATGAAAAAGCACTCTATGTTTTTGGATCCTGTCTGTCCATTGAGCCATGCTTGGTTCACTTCTTGAATCCTTCTTAAGGACTAACCTTTCAAGAATAAAAATGGTCCAGAACTGCTGCTGACTCAAGCCCACTTTGCGAAATGCACCAAAAGAGTCTTGGGCTGTTTTTGCTGCAAGAGACTAATATGGCTACACTCTTTAAATATCTATAAAATTTAGTTGAGATTCTTTTGTAGACCACATAAACGGTTGTCTGAGGTGTTGTTGTTGTTTTTACAGAATCATAGAATTGTACAGTTGGAAGAGACCTTGAGGGTCATCCAAATTCCTGCAGTGCAAAAGTCTCGACTAGACTAGAACATCTATGACAGATGGCCATCCAACCTCTGCTTAAAAACCTCCAAGGAATATTTTCATTCCACTTCCAAAGGAGTCCATTCCATTGTTGAACAGCTCTTATGTTCAGAACATCCTTCTTGGTGTTTAGTCAGAATCTCCTTTCTTGTAACTTGAATCCCTTGGGTTGGGTCCTACCCTCCGGAGCAGGAGAAAACAGAAGAAGAAGAAGAAGAAGAAGAAGAAGAGGAGGAGGAGGAGGAGGAGGAGGAGGAGGAGGAGGAGGAGGAGTTTGGATTTGATATCCCGCCTTTTACTCCCTTTTAGGAGTCTCAAAGCGGGTAACATTCTCCTTTCCCTTCCTCCCCCACAACAAATACTCTGTGAGGTGACTGGGGCTGAGAGACTTCAAAGAAGTGTGACTAGCCCAAGGTCACCCAGCAGCTGCATGTGGAGGAGCGGAGACGCGAACCCGGTTCCCCAGATTACGAGACTACCGCTCTTAACCACTACACCACACTGGCTCACTTAAAGCTTGCTTCATCTTCTATATGACAGCTCTTTAGATACTTTTGTTTTTAAACTAAAAATAATAATGATTTTTATTTAATTTTAACAATTCAGCCCCTTAACAATGTAGAACATTTATATACCCTTAATCTGGAAAATAAAAAAAAGAAACTTTTCTGATTGAGAAAGCATAATATTATACCTATTAAGCACCAAATGTTGACTCAGGTGAGTACCACAAGCACTCAATTAGCAAACATAGTATATCCGATAATAATTACTGGATGGAATGAGCACCTTTAAATGGCAGGGGAATTACCCATTAGATAACAATGGGTCTCAAAGTGAACCATTAACAGTGGGATCAGGCATT